ATTCAATTAGAAAGTGAAATTACAAAGTGTTTACGTATTTTTGTGATGGCGTAAATTAAATATTCTTCACACTAACAACATTCAGTTGTTGTTGTTTTTTTACTTTGGCTCTCCTATAAAATCGTAAAAACTGCATAAACTGTACTTTTAAAGATGACAGCAGAACTGCACCTGATGAATGTCCCATCATTACTATACCCCACCAATGATATAAGAGTAAATTGTTTTTAAGAAACCAAATTGCCTGTTTCTGTAATGTTCTAATTCTAGAGACAAATAAACGGGAGGATGATGCTTTTGGGAATACAAAAAGGAAGCGGAAAATCTGGCATCCTAGCAGGAAAGAACAGAAGAACGTTCAACCAGATGTGCACTGGCACAATCAGTGGAAAGACCCTCGGCGACATTTTGGAGAGAGCAACGGAGCATCAATGGACATGTCCGGAGTGCAGGGATGTTGCTTCCTGAAACAATGAATATTGAACCCTAAAGACGAGCGTCCATGGTGTAACGGTTAGGCTCTTCGCCGTCGCACTCAGCAGACCAGAGTTCAATACCTGGGTGGGGTGAATTTGTATCTAAAGCCTTAGTTTTTCTGCTGGGATGTTATGTCCCTCTCAGCCTGGGTTGTCCCTGACAGGCATAATCGAAGCGGGCCTCCTTAATGGTCTAATTTTGTCTCGATAAAGGGGTAAAACCACCTCCATTAGGACACCAGTTGTGGCCACGATTTAACAATGGTGTGCAAATTTAACTGCTTGATTTTCAGATTGCATACATAGAGATCCAAATGACTTTTGAATTAATCAATAATGATAATTGTACATGTCACAGCATTATCCGTTGGATGTTTTTTTTCATAAATTACCACTCCACCACCCCCACCCCCCGCCCCATCATTCCCTTTCAAAGCTTTTCAGAATTATAGGTTTTCATAAGTGGAGGTTGACTCCTCGTCGATAAAAGAATTAATATGATAAAACAAAGCGATGAGCCCTAAAATTTTCCCAACTAGCTCCCGCTGTATATAATATTCTTCCCAACAGCCCTACGATATAAGTAGCCAGAAACGTAAATCGACAACCGTTTTTCTGTTGTTATTATTATTTTGTTTTGTTTTGGTCATAATACATTATTTGATCTTGTACTTATCTATATATATAAACATTACGTAAAGGTCGATGAAAACAGACACTAATTCTACTGTTGGTTACATATTAAGTAGGGTAACGAATATTATGGAATAACTTGAAAATGGCCCCAAGGATAGATGTTACAAACATTTCTCTAGGCGGCTAGGGAAAAGTCGAATGTTGTGGGGATTCTGACCCGTGCTTGCTTATGACGGTCATCTACGAGGTTTCCTACCAGACGTATAAGCTACGACCTGATTAAGAACCACATTATTGATGTCCTTCCTCATAATCTGAAGTCACCAGAGCCGTACGGAAAGTAACGGAGAGCATCCACTACGAAGTAATTCTGCTTATCATTATCATCAATTACCCATACTGATTATGTCCTCAGTTGACTAATAAAGATCCCAGTCCACATCTTCGGATCCTGATACTTTGACGGAGTGATCCACGTGAAAGGCTCTTGCATAGACAAGGAAGTCATCCTGGAGTTCGATTCTCATTGGATACATTGAGCTATGCTCGAAGCCCGTGTGGTCTAGTAATCAGTTTAAGTTGTGATGTGACTCCTGGCTTCACGTTAATGTACTACTCTTCTTTGTATTTGTCGTGCCCTGATAGAATGTAACGCAAATGTTCTACGGTTAAGGGAAATCCGGAGTCAGTAGAACTAAGCCGTAGGTCCAACACAGTGATAAGTTATTGCGACTTTTTAGCAGCACTGTGGAGTACAAGCTTTTCTTTCATTCAAGGCCATGAATGAGTACATTTCACTCTTTACCATAATAGGTCGCTTTCAAGGACAAGCGGGCTAACCCAAATTTCGAGGGGTTTCCAGAAATCTTAACCTACACCAAAAGTGGATATTGCCCTACCTATATGAGAAGTTTGGTTTCATTGGTGTGCATATTTGTTTGGTTATAGAGAAAACTCTCCTTGTCTTTTAAAGAAACTAAACAAAGGGCAAGAACTTTACCTTCGATTTTCTCAAAACAGCTTTTTTTCGGGATAGCCCCCTTGTGCTTAAAAGCGACCAGTTATAATATTTCCTCTGTCTGGCTCATCGTAAATTGTCTATTCAGCATTCAGTTGAAACTGTTCTAAGGAACACCTGTCCAAGACAATCATCTGTAGAAACGACGACTTCTCACCACCGACCCCCACCCTCCCCCGGCCTCTTGTTTTTGGGAAAATATTTTATAAAAACACTGTCCAAGACGTCCACCGGTCTAGGGTAACCAATTTTCTCCTCGTTTTAGTAAGAGTTTTACAGCACTTGCAACACAATAAGGTCCTATAAGTGCCGCAGATTGGAAGTGTTTACAAGACAGTAACAAACACCAAAAAAGAGAAGAGATAAGGACAACAAATGTTCGAGAGGAAAAAGGAGAAAACCACACCAGAACACTCCCCAACCACCCACTTTTCTCTTCGACAATGGGTGGCCGTCTTGGACAATGTCGACTGTATTTCATTCTGTCCATGGTTTGTTTGTTTGT